GATCAAGCTCCCGAGGTACTTAAAGCTCTCAACTACTTCTAGCAGATCACCACAGAGGGTGAGTGCAGGCACAGGCTCCTGCCAGTCTTGAACAGGCAATTTGCACTTTGATGGTGCAAAGCACATACCATACCTAGATAACTTGATCGCCAAGCGGTTCAAAGTGTCTTGAACTGCCTGTGTGTTGTCACCCAGCACCTCAATAGACAAACGTACATCAAAACCGCACATTGCTATATCCAACGCCCGCCTGGCTCTTTCGCGTCAATCAAGCTCGACGATACCGTACGAGTAATGATGACTATTTTCGTTTGATAATATCTGAAGCTAGGAGGAACGAACAGAGCGGTTCGAAGGATAAAACGCTTCTTATACAAAACACAGTTGTCACTTCAGTACACGGAGATGAGGTGATAAAATTAAAATTCTGCCGCCCGTTCACAATGACCAAAACAGTATGGTACAGAACTTACCCATATTCGAGGCCGTATTCAACAAGGTCATATAGGTCCCCCCGACGACGGGATCACTAATCCGGGCATGGAATGCCATCTGACTGACAAACGCAATATTGGTCAAAACGTAATGGAGAACCATATAGGCCAATAGGACAGAATAGAATGACCAGGTGAAATGATGGACCGGGTTTGCATCCGCGGTTCCGTTGGGCGGGAATGAGGTCGAGTTGATAGAGGCGGCAACAGGCAGCGCCTGTTGAAAATATGGTGTGTAATACACCAATGGGACTGTAAGGGCAGCTGAGAAAAATCTGGACAATCGAACAAAAAAAGGAACGGGGGATAGAAAAGCAGTTTGAACGAGAGGGGGGAAACAAAGTGCATCCGCTGCAAAACGAAACAGAAACGATGGTCACATTCTCTCACACCTGGCTGAATACTACATCACATTACGAGAGCATCGCTCATTCTAAATCCTAAAGATACATGGTGGGTACAAACAGATATTTATCGTATATTCAGTGGTAAGTGAGGGTTTTTGCCCGTTAAAATTATTGTCTTGATAGCTCACTCTGGACCGTTTTCATGGCTTTTTTAATTTATTCGTCATTGTATGCGAGTAACGGAGGATTTAATTTGTTTATATGATGAATTAGTCGTTTAGATGAGGTGTGAGCTGAAAAGATGGGAAGCGCTGGACAGCTGTTTCAACTTGGTTGGGTCTCATCAACAATGAGAATCCATCGACCAAACTGGGGATCGAATCCGGGACCTCACAGGTAGAACCCAAAAATATTATCCACTCGGTCACAGGGCAGCTGATCAGATCGTTTCTCATTTTGAATTTACATCATACAGCACAAACCATTTATGCAAGCTTGTTGTATCGGTCCTCGTTCATTTCAGCACTAACCTCTAGAGTTATCGTACAAATATATATATATATATATATATATATATATATATATATAT